TGAAACAACGAAATAGAGAAATAACAAATATTAGTTAGAAAAAATCGATTAGGAAGGACTGAAACTGTATCATTATCTCTCACTTCGAATAGGATGTTTACTTAACTTAAGATTATAAAGTGCAGAGACTACATGTGTAATTCGAGTAATCTTATCAAAATCATCATAGGCACCTCTGTAAATACTTCCTAAAATGGCATAACTTTTAATACGTTGATTGATATTTTCGATCGCTGCTCTTGCACTGGAAATTGATCGATTGAAATCTTTATCTTCAGGTGTTAATTCGCCACCACGAGGTTTCTTTCTTGGGGTTATGACATATTGTCCACCGATATATCCTTTGTCGGCGATGATTTGAACATGTTCTTCTGTATGTTCCAATAACCCTGATTCTCTTAGAACAGTAATATCATGTACACTGCCTTGATAGCATTTGGACACATGAACTATTCGATGATTAAAATCACAAGTTATCTGTATTTTAAATGCATAGTTTGTTGGGCTTTTTGCATGATAATACGCTTTACGTTGGTCAGAATCTTCTGGCTGGTGAATTGCAATAAAGGTAGAATCAACAATTAGCTTGTGGTGCGGCTCAGGCCCATACGCTGTAGCTTCATTATCCATATCATCAGGTAATAAAATTAACTTCGGATATGCAGATGCATATAATACATCTATCACTGCAGATAAAAAATAGTTCACTGTTGATTTACTGAAGTTTAACTCTGCTGCTATATAACGCTCAGAGTGATAATGCTTCAGATACCATAGCGTAACTGCAAGTAAATTGATAGGCGATAAAAATTTAATATTTGTATCTGTTGTATGTTGTTGTTTTCTATTCATACAGAATTCGATCAGCGATTGTTCGCACATGTTGAATAATTGTTGCACTTGTTCGATGTCGTGTTCTGTATGTTGTGTACATGACTCATCGCTACGACTCCACTCGGACTAAGGGCGTTGCTCTAGAATATAAAATCACTAGAAAAATTCCGATGCTTTGTTATTATGTATTCGAGACACACCACACAATAGACTAGGAGTTAAAATGCTCACTAAACGCATATATTTCTTACCATTATCCGATATTTCAATTTCTTGAAATTTTGAGAGCCGATTTTTCACCTTCAACTGCTGTCGTTCTTCTTCAAGCTCTGGTGTACAATAGTTACATCTGTTGCGATGTCGATGGTAATTGCTGTATAAACCTGATTTTCCAGAAGGAACACATGTCCAAATCAGCATTGATTGACAACTAATGCAATATTTTCGTCGATCAGTTATAGCAGTCTGACATTCAGGACAATCCCATTCGATTTCTGATGAAGATGATATCATAGCGATATATAGATTAATGTATTGTTTTAGTGGAAATGAATTAAAGGAAAAAACAAATGTAAACAAAGAAACTATATTGAAGTGAATAATGTAATCGGCTGTTGTGTGGTGAGAAAATATCAAATAAGAAAACAATTTCTGTTTAATGGCCTCCTTTCCAGAGATGTGTCTTTCGTGAAGATGTCAACCTATAACTATAGACGTATTTCTGTCTAATTACTATTGACATATAGTGCAGATATAAGCTTAGTTGTTAACTTTCCATAGAGCGAAATTTATGTACTAGATGAACATTAAAATTCATTTTAATAGTGCACTGTACGAAAACGTTTAGTTATATTAGCTTCGAACGAGGTATATAGTCGAAACTATAGCGGTTTATTAGCTCTTTATTAGTACTATGTTCGGTAAAAAAAATCATACGTTTTGGTCGAGAATAGAAACTATGCGATGAAAA